AAGATATTAATTAATTCCCAAATTTTGTTGCAATTTGGTGCTTCATACTGAAATTACCTCTTATATGGACTATGAGTGAAATTACAAGGAACTTGGCAAGTACTATCTGGTAGCTAGCACACATAGATTGCTCCTATCTCATCATGCCTAAGTATTATTTACTGTTTTTCTTTAAAATTTGTGGGTGTAACTGTATAGACAAGTTTTCTGTACAGTAAATAAAACTTCTACACTGAGAATCCACATAGCAGTTCAACACAGAGAGGCTATGTTGTTGATTCAGTCCCTTGTTAGTGCACATTAATCCCCCATGTAAGCAAGCCCTTGCCTAAGCTCATTTTAGTGTAAATCATTTCCACAAGATGAACTTGCACCCATGAGCAAAATCAGAGCATAAATAAAGCTTTAGATAATCTTACATCCACCTAATGCACATCATACAACTATTTCTAAATTCAGTCCATTATTTTCTACCCCTACCCATTGAAGGGGACCTGCCCTTACCCTCCTTTTTTAATGACAATATTTTGTTTTCTGCATTGCAGCCTTTATTAATCTTTCCAGCTGGAAAGTAGAAACAGATGTTTCTAATTATTTGGACATCGTTTTAGCACTCAAGATCAAGTTACAAAAGCTTTCATAGAATAATTTTCCTCATCTGTCAAGTTTTCCATTTTATTTTGGGAGAAATAGACCGAGTTTATTTTTATATCTGATGCCTGTTTCCTTTGCCAGACAGTTAAGGGACAACTGTTAATTTTTTTATCCTCCATTTGCCTGCAGATCTGATAGTTACCCTGCCAGGAAAGCCCTCCAAGCAGCCTCATAGGTGACAACATTTTGATATTGTAGTCACTTGGTGTATAAGGGTAAGGCCACATCATGTTTTATGAGAGTTGTCAGGTCCAACATCTCATAGAGTCAAAATGCAAGTGATTGTAGCATTAATTCAGAAGGAGTCAAACAAAGCGAGCACAGGGTCGGCAAGTATGCCAGAAGCTGGCCCTGCTGCAATTACTGGCATCTTCATGGGCTGCTTGTTTACATTTGCATTTTGAGTTAAAGAGTCAGGTCATTCTGGACGGTGCCCTTAAAATCTTCACTTAGGAAATGGATGTATCTTCAGCAGAGTGCTTGGGATTCTGTCCCAGGACCACAAATGGAGGGCAGCAAAGCCAGTCTGGGGGAAAAATGGAAAGGTAACATATCTCACATGAACCCTTGAAAACTCACTTCACCTGTTAAATATTCAATATATTCATTGAATAAAATGTAATGCCTTCATTATCATCATTAAAGAGAAGGGGCAAGACAGTGGCTTATACAGAACAGGCTTTTCATTCTGCTTTACATGGCTGCATTGATACTGAGCACCCATAAACATAATTGGTTGAGATTGACACAATTGGTGTCAGCTGTGCGTTACCATGGCACTGTGAAACAGCTGAAGCTGAGGGACTATCTCCCAACATGTTCTTCAGCTTTTTAAATTTTTCAGTTACATTCTCAAGGGGTCTAAATTTGCTGTTACTAAAATGAAAATGACTAGTCTAAAGTATAAAGTCAAAGAATAACTGCACAGTGTACTCTAGCAGTTAGACAGTGGGGCATGCAATGGATTAAAAATCTGTACTTTGTTAAGTCTAAAAGGCAGGACCTTTCCCCTAGTACTAACTAATTTTTTACTGAGTTATGCCAGCTGTCATTGACCATACATCATTTTGGTGCTAAGAGAGGCTGATATAGACATAAACCAGTAAGACTCATGAGTGTCTTAGTGAATGCAACCTGCTGTACTTAGCTGCTCTCCTGCTTTTCAAGTTATGTGGAAAGACTTGTAATAGTTATTTGGGTTTTCCTGGCTTGAAAAGACTCATAGCAACTTGGAATATTCTCCTATAACTTAATTTTATTTTTATTACTTGTGAGAAACTAAAAACAAAAAAAATGCATAGGGTATTAGCAGCTTTTAAGAATATCTACAAAAACCAGCTTCTCATTAGAGCTTGTCACGAAGCTTGGAATTTCTTTTTCATATTTCTAGTCCTCACCTCCATACAGTAAAATATTTACATTAACAAACATACAGCTTGTTAATTAAAATTGCCAAAAAGCTAGCTTTTCAGAGGTGACATGGTAGGAAAATAGAAAAAACTTAAATTTAGTGGATAGTCTAAAGACTCAATGATACTGCTACTTGTCTCCAGCTGTGTGTTATTCTGCGTTGAGAATGGGTCTATATTAGAAAAGCAGCATTTTTTCACCAGACTCGGTTTTAAATTATCAACTTTAAGTGTATTTAAATCTTTATTCTAAAAGTTTTCTATTGTGAAATTATACCAAATTGGTGAAATACATTATGTGAGTAAAATGAGGTGTAAATTCTCCTTGATTACCTACAGGTATTTGTACTAATTTAGCCAGTTTTATTTAGAAAATTTCTGCTAGTTTAATGAAATTATTTTGTATCAAAGTTGAGGTTTTGTGTTGAAATATACACACATAGATATGCACGTTTGTCTTCCCAGATTCCAATTACCATTAAAAATTGGTTTTGGTCTTTATCATCTTGCCACATTTCAAACAGCTGGATGTCTGCCACATGCTCCGGTATTGGGGTATCACTGACAGAGTGAATGAGTTGCTGTCTTTCCATTCAGATGTGAAACTTATTCTTACCACTATTAACATTGCAGCAAAAGTGGCTGTGGTATTTTATGGACTCCCCTGAAGGCAAGATCCAAAGCCTATGTAATCTAAACATCCGTCACTTTAGCTTCTCACTGAGACTGAAGGCTCTGTGTAATCCCTGGTATTTATTGCCTTCCAAATTCCACTCTGTAAGCATCAATATATTTCATCTAATATTGCCAGCAAACTGTAAGCTGAGTCTCATATGAGACATTTTTCAGCTTTTGACACAGCTCACCACCCGTAAATGAATACACGAGGCCAAAATATCCAAGTCAGCTTCTCTTCATCGGAGAGATAAGGCAAGACACCGTTGGGTGTGAAATTCATAGTCCATTTCTCAAATGAGTTTCTGCAACAGTGAGTTCCCATATGTTGAAGCAAAGTATCACGCGTATGACAGGCATGTACTACTTGTCCTGAATTACATTTATATAATATTCCTCTATATAATAAACCTCTATATAGGGGCAAATCCTAACAGATAAGCTGGAAAGGAAGCAAAAAAAGGATCCTTTTCCCTTTTCCCCACTTTAGCCTCTTTGGTATGCATTGCCAGAAATGAGGCAGGGTTATGATTTAGCACACACACTCTGCTAAGAAGATTGGGTTTGAGAGAAGAGGAAAGGAGTTAATTTGCATGCTCTGAAAGCATGGGGCTGGCTCTGTCTGGTGCCACCAAACAGCCACGACTGTGTTCCTCACTGGGCCATCTCGCCATGCACTACCTGCTCTTACACTACCTCTCACACCTTTTTCAAGGGTAAATGCTACTCACCGTGACATTTTTTATTGCTATCTAACCACTGGAAATAACAGTCACAGATCCCTAGTGCAGCCAGCACCAGTAGATGCTCTCTTCCATTTCTTTCTACTTTTACAGCAATGAGATATCTGGTGAAGTGCCATGTTGGTAGTAGCCATCCTATCATGGGTAGACATCCTGTCATGTCAGACAACTGAGAAGGCTTGAAAGTAGCTTTCCACTTTGGAGCCATAGCTTTTGTACCATTTACTACATCACTTCAGTCCTGGGAGCTTTGCTGTCAGGATTTCTGCCCCAGACCCGTTGCTTTGTGGATACTCAGGGGGTGCAATGCATTTCACCATGCCCTCTCTATTGCCTAATGCAGCCACCCCAGGGAGTGCCCCAGGGGGGTCACAGAGTTGAGGAGATAATCCCCACAGCTAAGACTGTTGTACAAGCAGGGAGCTGGAGTGTTTGCACTTTATAGATGAGTGAGGAATAGAAGGCAGAAAAGAGAAGTAGCAGTATGGAAGATTAGGAGCTAGCAACAGGGGAAAAAAAAAGGCTGTTCTCATAATTTTGAAAATGGATGCTTAAATATTACCAGGGGGACAGTAGTTATCATCTTGAACCTGTTCTGTCACCCAGCTGTTCTCTCAGAGGCCAAAATCAGGCTTATCCCACACACGGTACGTTGCTGAGCTACACAGCGGTGAAATGTGGTGAAGCGAAGCAGGTCCCTTGCTTTGACAAGGTGCCACATCTTTGACCAAGCCATCCAGATCTGACCACAAGTGTAAGGCTTAGCTGCTTTTGACTTAGTAAATAAGAATCTCCATGAGGCAATTCTGACTCTTCTCGTTGATGATACTAATGAGAGCTGAGTGCATTAGCTGTAGGCTGCCTTGCTGCTGAATTTAGCCAGTGATAAATATGAATTTGATTTTTAAAAAAAATGCATAGAGAGTTTATTCATGTGCTGGAGATACAGGCAGTGAAAGAGGTGTCAAGACCATTTAATGTATTTGTTCTTGCATAGGCAATGTTACTGCTACCATTTTGCCTTTCATCTCTGAACTTTTGCATGGGGAATTCTTAGGTGTTGCAGCACTGTAAGTTAGTGGATAGTGAGCCTGGGAAGACCCAGGAAATTTAATGTCTATAAGTGTGGGATTTTATATCATTGCTCCTAATAAAGCCAAAGTGTGATAGGTTATTCCTTGCTGTCAGTTTGTGTTGTCAGCTAGCTCTGTGCCCCAAAGTGAGGCAGTTACCCAGAGCAAGTCTTTTTCATATCATCATCATAATCTCCTTAGTTGTCTTTTCCAGTCTGTTTTCCCTGTTGCTCTTTTCTTAAGATAAATATCTACTGTCAAAGTAATAGAAGTTACTTGAGGAAACCTGATTACAGGGCATCTGAAAAGAACTCAGAGATGCGTATTCGATTTGCATGAGCCATGGAAGCAAATGCTCTGCCTTACTTCAACAGGCCGAGTATGTGTTCCCTGAAATAAGTATCCCAAATGGGCTAAGCTTTCCCTTTCCTCTGTTTTCCATCTAGGGTTTGAACATGAGTACCCAGCCACATACTGTGACCAAGACAGAGATCCCTGCCCATGTTCTTTACACTGTAGGAACTTGTGTTCTCGTTATTGGCTCCATTGGCATCATCGGAAACCTCCTAGTTCTCTACGCATTTTATAGGTACAAAAATTTCTATCGTGTTTAACCTGACTGCTCTTGAGGTTCATGTGTGCAGATTTCTGCATTGCTTTCCTCTTGGTTTAAATCTTCAAGCAGAGGGTGATGTAAACAAATGGAGAAGGGGAATGAGAGGAAGGCAAGCCTACACACACACACATCCACATGCATCACTGATAACCTTAGTGTGAATTTCTCATGTTTTAAGGAATCAAAGAAAATGAGAAAATAAATACCTTGTTCTATAAACAGAACCAGTTGAAAGTTTAAAGAACAGTTCAGCACTTTTAATGATAGAAATCACAGTCTCCCTGTTGCAGACACTTACCCTGTAGTATATGCAGAAACACCTGACAAACACTGACATTTCTCCCAGCAGCCCAGATGTCCTGGAAGGACCAAAGAATCAATGTGCTACATGAAATGAGCTCATGCCACCAGTGTATTCCCTGCTTCAGGCAGATCATAGGATTTCTGTCAGTCTGTGTGCTCTGTTGGCAGAGTAACAGACAGCCAAAGTTACTGCAGCTAGTAACTGCAAAAATCTCATGGAAAAAAAATAGCTACCCTCTGTCCCACAGTGTGATGATGAATTTCAAAATCCTCCTTGTTCACTGCTTGCTGTCATTATGCATGTTGATGTAGAGGGGGCCTGTAATGCTAGAGACACTGGTGGGGTTATGAACCAAGTGTTAGTTTCCTATTCTGAAAGACAAATAAATTAGTTATTTTGAATAACTGGCTTCTAATATGACTTAATGGAGAAAATTAATTCCCTGCAACTGTGGACACCTTCATGATTTTTTAAATGCAGCACAAGCTCTGCGTTTTTCTTGAAATTTGTGTGTTTTAGCTGGTGTAAAAAAAAGCATTAAATTTTCAAAGTAGGAAAATATGCACTGGCAGTTGAGCACCTGGGAAGGTGTGAACTCTGCACCCTCTCTCACCCAGTTGCTGGCAATTATTAGACCCAAGAATCTGATAGCATTGAGATGGCTTTCTCACTTTCTTTTTCAGTATTTGTTTATCATCATGAGGAAAGAAATTCATGTTAGCTGCAAATACTGCTATTGCAAAGCACATCAGAAAGCCCTCAGTTGTTCATCTTCTTACACTGAAGGAGACATTTTGAGGAAAAGAAAGAATTATTTCAAACTATTGAAGGTTGCAAGAACAAAATTATTTATGAAATTCTGCCTCCTCCCTGTGTCTCACAGAGCATGCCAAGTCACCCCTTTTTGTATTATACGTACCTAACACTCGCAAAAGTGCTGAATTCAAACTCCAGGTATCAAAGCCTTTAACTCCATGATACAGCCAATACAGCGGTTCACACTGGGGGACTACTAGTTCAGTGTTACACCTTCTCATTATATCCCCTCAAAAGTGGCAGTTGAGGGTTTGGGTGAGCTGAACTCACAAATTAATTTAACTTTCCTAGTTGGACACAATATTTAATTAGAGCAACAACAACATATTCAACCAAACAACTCCAAGTACAAGTGAGAGGTTCTTTATCTTGTTACCAGTATCTTTATTCCTCTCAAACAGAGCTAAGGGTAATCCTGAATACCCACTGAAACTTTCCAAGAAGGTTTTTACTCCAGATATCCCTAGAAAGTGAGTCTGCATGAGGTGGTGAGATGTTGGGAAAAGAACTGAAAGTGATGTTTGTTTTCTTTGGATAAGCTTTGCTTGCAGACTGTCTGTTGCTTTCACACTCCTTATTGTGGCATTTAATATTGCCTGTTCATCTGCAGCTGAGAGCTTTCATTCTCTCCTATGAGATGTATATGAGCAAAAGTACTTTTTCCAAATCTCAGTGCATGCTCTGCTTGTGTGGTAGCACTTTGCAAAAGGTCATTTAGTTAGTGGTAATGTGCCAACTCTTCAGGTCAGCATCTTTTAAAATATCACCAAAAGCAGATCCTTTGGCTCAGTAACCTGCTTCAGATCCTGGTCATGTGCAGTGCAAGACACAATCAATATTACAGCACTCCTAAGGAACTGCTCTATTCCAGAACAAATCCATATTTGTCAATACAGCTGAAACTCTTCTCAGTTTGAAGAGGAAACAATCCATTTTAACCCTCCTGCTCTTGTCAGTCATAAGTTCATAAGTTTGAAATGACTGCAGCTGAGGCTGTAGTAGCTGACTGATGATTAGCAATTGATTCACTGTAAGTAACCATTGATTGCAACCTGGACAGTATTTGTTTATGCTAGTAAGCAAAGCTATAAAGTTAACTTTTCACTTTGTCTGTTTAAAATCATGTATTTCTCATGTTTTTAAGCAACAAGAAGCTGAGGACACCCCAAAACTACTTTATAATGAATTTAGCTGTGAGTGACTTCCTGATGTCGGCTTCTCAGGCACCCATGTGCTTTGTCAACAGCCTGCACAGAAAATGGATACTTGGAGATATAGGTACTTTTCATCACTAATTTGTACCTCACCAGCTCTATGCTGTCTTCGGCCTGTTTTTGCCATAACAATCTTTGCTTGTGCTGTGGAGACAGCAGCACAAATCTCGAGTTACAAGCCCAGTTCTTGACATCATCAGTCAGCATGATGTCACATGTTTTGTATTATAGGCTTGATTCTTTTATCTTACATATTTTGGAAAGGAAGGAGTCAACATCAACATGTAATTATATTACCCTTTAGCTTGTAAGGGAGAAAGTAGGTAGAAAAGTTTTAATAAGTTGTAAATAGTTTTTTTGTATTAGTTTAAGGTGTAGTTACTCCTTTTATTTAGAAATGTATGTTGATATCCATTAGCATGCTTCTAGGAATCTCATATTTAATTAAAAGATATAAATAACGATACTCAGTTGAGGACTCTGCAAATTTAGGCTCCTTTCATGCCAACTGCAAGAAAGAAAAGGTGATGAGTGCTCAAATTATAGCTGAAATGTGAGTATAGCAGGAACCTCAGAAGGCTTGATACTCTGACTGATGCTGCTCAACACATCATTGGGTGAAAACTTACACAAAGTAGTGGTTGTGTAACAGTGGAGCAAACCTAGAAACCTTGTACTTTTTAGCAGCACAGAAGGGACTCCAGAAGGGACTCTGCTTTAGTTCGATTTTAGTCTTGCTCATCCCCTTAGATAAAATCAGTGTAAATTATTGTGCTGACACAAAGCTGACACAATGAAGCAATTGATTTGGATTGAGTGGGATTTCGTCCTTAGTTGCAGGTTACTTATAAAGACTTTAGAAGTGTATTTTAGGGTTGAATCGGGTATTTTGACTGCCCGCCATTCCTAGTGGGCTCTTGTCTATAACCACATGGGGCAATGCAACATTTCAAAAAATGGATGATCTTTTGACACAGGTTTCTGAACTAAATTCTGGACAGTGTAACTCTACAAGTTTCATCTGGTAGTGCAATGCCTGAATGTAGAGAGGTAAAAAAAAATCTCTTTCACGTAAAAAATGTTGGTTCTTTTAAAAAGCACTGCCATTAAAAATGGGAGTTGGAGCTGTTTTACAGCTGTTTTAGTCATCAAATTTAAACCACTTCTGTATTTTTAAGCCACATTAACCAAAGTAATTTTTTGAAACACTCATTGGTCATTGGCAGACAGATGTCTGCTGCAGCCTGTTAAGATCAATATATTGGGCAGCAGTCCAGGAAAGTATAACTTTAATTAGATTGGATTTTCTTTGAGGCAGTTTTCCATTGACAAAAGGTTCCCAGTTGCAGCCTGCAGTGGAGTAGGACCTTTTAAAAACATATATTTGTATTTTATTTATATTTGTGTTTTTCTAATAAACAATAACTATGAAACTGTGAGGCTAAGAAATTCTTCTAATGAGAGAGGAGTCCTGAACCAGGAAAAAAATGGGAGGTTTATTACGACGGGCTCTGAGAGAAAACGTGTGTCTTTTCAAGAAAATCCCTGACATTGCCATTTTCTGCTTCAGGCTGTGACTTGTATGCTTTCTGTGGCGCACTCTTCGGAATAACCTCAATGATGACTTTGTTGGCTATTTCTATTGACCGCTACCTTGTGATCACTAAGCCCCTGCAATCCATACAGTGGACTTCAAAGAAACGCACCATACAGGTCATCGCCGTCGTGTGGCTCTACTCGCTAGGATGGAGCCTGGCTCCGCTCTTCGGGTGGAGTATGTTGTCTGCTCTCTCTCTCCTCTAGCGTTCCCTGTGTGGTCTGCCTTAGTCTTGCTTGGGATATATAAAAAAAAGAGTTTTCTCACAAGTTCTTGGTCGATGCCTAGCCACCGCCTGATGGTTTGTTGTCGTACCAGACATTGACACCTGCTGCACTGCAGATACCCTCTTCCCCCCTACCCCCAGGCTGTATTCAAGCAGAACAAATTGCAGGTGGAGTATTAGGTGTGCATCTGAGTCTGGCAGTCAGAACCTCCTCTCCATGTGCACACTCAGATTCTCAGACCACACATATAACATGGCCAGCATAGCTCTTGAAGGCTATGGATACAGAACAGGCTTTATTTTAAGGGCTTAGTTGTTGGATCAGCAGCTGTGCTAACTTTGGATGTATGTGCGAATAATGTATTCCATGTATTCCACAGGTTCCTATGTGCCTGAAGGCTTGATGATATCCTGTACATGGGACTATGTAACCTACTCCCCTGCAAACAGAAGTTACACCATGATTTTATGTTGCTGTGTGTTTTTTATACCCCTGATAATAATATTCCTTTGCTATTTATCTATGTTCCTGGCCATAAGACGTACTGGCAGGTAAGCAATGTAGCTGAAAGAAGTACATATCCCTTTTCTTGTGTTAGAAGATATTCTCAATTTCTTTGACTGCAGAAATATCTTAATCAAAAATTAATCTGAATTGAAATTGGAACTGTAGTGGCAGATCATTAGCAGCTGCAACAGGAGAAATATTTTTTGCCTATTTAAAATCTGGAATGGATGTATGGATTTTGGAGCAGAAAAAGAAGTCTCTGGTGATTTTAATCTTATTCCAGTGTGGTAACTAATAGTGCATCAGATAATTTGATTGAGTTATTTGTATTTCAGATTTGCACTACAAGAAACTTTGTCCCTGTATATTTTAGCAGTTTTCAGGCCCAAGGGATAATAAATAACATGTAGCAATGGAGGCATCATCTGCCTTCGAGCTGTTCTGTAAATGTAACAGTCTTCATATTTTTGACAGCTTTATTTAAGGCAGGCATCCCAGAAATCCTTGTACTTCTCTCAAGCATCACAACGACATGTACAATATCTGGCTACGCTTGTTAGGACTTTTTTTTCCACAAAAATTTTGGTCTATATTTAAAATGAAAAATCAACAGGCTGTTAGATCTGCAAAGTAACTTCATCCTGTCAGTTATTTTTCTTCTAATGAGCACATGGCTGGTGTTGTAAATCCTTCCTGCTGCTCACAGTGTTAGCAGCTCTGATGGCTTTTCTCTGCATCTGTCTGCAGGCACTTGTTGAATCATTTGGCTACATAACGCTAAATTCTGTTTTTCCAAGCACATTTATCTGTATGCCTTAAGTGAAGTTCTTACTGAACTCTATGTTTTGGCCTTGTCTTGTTTTTTGCACTTTGTATACACATATTTGACATCAAGCAAGGGAGCAAAGAATGCATCCTTAAAACAATGGTGTCTTACACACATGTGAAGCACAGTGGACATAAGATTTTTCTATGCCTTTTGCTAACTAAATACAGAAAACTCATGTTATGAGTTTAGATGATTAGAGGGGTGGAACACCTCTCCTATGAGGAAAGGCTGAGAGAACTGGGTTTGTTCAGTCTAGAAATGAGAAGGCTTAGGGGTGACCTAATCATGGTCTTCCAGTACCTGAAGGGAGTGTACAGGAAAGTTGGACAGGGAATTTTTACAAGAATGTGTAGTGACAGGACAGGGGGGAATGGCTTCAAGCTGAGAGAGAGTAGATTAAGATTAGGTATTAGGAAAAATTCTTGAGTGTGAGGGTAGTGAGGCACTGGAACAGGTTGCCCAGAGAAGCTGTGGCTGCCCCATCACTGGGAGAGTTTAAGTCCGGCCTGGATGGAGCTTTGAGCAGACTGGTGTAATGAAAGGTGTCCCTGCCCACGGCAGGGGGATTGGAACTAGATCATCTTTAAGGTCCATTCCAACCCAAACCATTCCATGATTCTCTTCTATGTTCACAGTGCAACAGGAAGAAGTTTGTTACACTGCTGGGTGGTAATTAATGTCTTCAGCCTGAAATATATATCCATTTACCAACACTGATATGTAAAAATTGCTATTTCTATGCTAAGCAATATAAAATGCTTAACCGCACAAAACTTTTTTAAAATAAAAATGGAGTGTTTGGTGTGAGAAGAGAATTTGATTCGATGTTTTTTGGCAAAAATGTTAGGACTGCATGTTGTACTTCTCCCTGAAAATACTCTTCTCCAGTGAATAAATTTGCAGGTGAGTAAAAATATCCTCCTAAGTGTTTGGGACAAGGTCTGCAGAGTTGTCAGGGTATCCCAGCACGTGTTACCTTGTGAACTTGATTTTCTGCAAGCTGTTCTTCCCTTGAAGAGGAAAAGATGTAAGGCTTGATTTTTCCATCCAGCTATGCCTTTGCTTCCTCCACCTCTGAGAACAACAAAGGGCAAGAGGTACTAATTTCTGCACCTTTGCAACCTGAAACCCTCCTTGTATTAGGTAAGGACAGTGCAGTCCCGTCCTGTAGTCCCAGGTGTTCTGGCTTAGTCTTACAGGCAAACACAACACTTGCAACCGTTTTGCTACATTAATTATCTTCTAGAGTTTTTAAATATCAGAGGACAAAAGAAGAATTAGAGTAAGGAAATATGAAATCTACTTCATTTTGCATATTGCTGAGAACATATTAGAGATGTTGCACCTAGCTTTTTCACTGTCGTGCTGAAATATCGGTATTTTTTCCCCTCTCACAGAGATGTTCAAAAGCTGGGGTCCTGCAGTCGGAACTCCCACCTCTCTCAGTGTATGAAAAATGAGTGGAAACTGGCAAAAATTGCTTTTGTGGTCATCATTGTGTTTGTCTTGTCCTGGTCTCCGTATGCTTGTGTCACCTTGATTGCCTGGGCAGGGTAAGTGGAAAAGTAATCCAAACAACATAGGTTATTCTGAAATACAAATATGTTAGTACTGTCACCTATGTGAAGCAGATCTCCATTTTGAAAGGGTCCTAAATAATTAGGGTCCTGACTGACTGTGGGAGCTTAAAATCAAAAGGAAAACACTGGTTTCAAACCACTTCTGGTCCTCTCTTCCTTCTGCAGTATTTGAAACTGAGTCACTGACGCACATTACTGTGCGGCACAGATGTTGCTGCTGAAAGGTTTTTAGGTTTGATTCTGTTTTCTTTTTTATCACCGTTCACTTTTCGCAGATGACCACAATGGGCGTTATTTTGTTGGGAGTTTTGGGGGGTTTTTTTGCCTATTGTAGAAACAGGGAAGGTGATTCTTTGTGTTCCTAGTCATCCTCAAGTAGATAACTAATTACTTGCATGTGTTTGATCTTCTCCAAATGAATGAAATCAAGTACATGCTGTCAAATTCAAGCCTTTCATCTGAAAAAAAATGCATTTGAATGAATCAACATTTCAGGGGTATTTCTTATAAAAAGAAATAACAGCACAAAACCAGCCAAAAGGAGAAATATGTTCTATTAATATAGTATTAATCTGTGGCATAGCTGTGTGTCATGTTTTTGCTTTGTTTTAGTCGAGGCAACACCCTAACACCATATTCCAAATCTGTGCCAGCAGTTATTGCCAAAGCTTCTGCAGTCTACAACCCCATCATATATGCAATAATTCACCCAAGATACAGGTATAGTAAATATATAGGTATGTGTGTAATTGTACATTCAAATATGTTTCTTTCCAAGGAACGAATTACTCTCATTCCTTTAGCCTCACCCCATGCAGTGCCTGTTCCTGCACTGACCATCCCGGGATGGCATCTGGGTAGTCAGACCCCATGCCACATGCACCAGGTACATGGCAGCCCGGACTGCACATGGAGCTCCTGATGTGGCCTCAGGAGTGGCCAACAGAGAACAGTCCCTTTCTTCTCTCTCACAGCCCTGCTCTATCCTGTGGAGCTGCACAACACCGTGACTGACCGGTTCCATCATGTCAGGGATAGCCACTAAAGAGTGCTCTCCATAGAGAAGGTGCCGACCAGAGAGGCTCAAAAATCACATCATCATCAATTTAAGAAGATATATATGCATGTGTTTGAGGTTTGATCCTCTGAAGCATTTGAGTTATTCTCTTTATACTAACTTCAGTATTAATTTAAAGAAGTTGCTAATCTTCAGGAGAAGCCTTCTGAGAAGCAAACAGCATTTTCATAGAAGTTCTGTGCATAGTGACAGCTGTAGTAAGCCAGTAATGCAGACAAGAGTTCCCTGCAAATATACAGAAAAGGCTATTTTTTCATTAATACTCTTACTAGTGTTAGTCAACAAGTATTTGCCTTTAAAAAATAACGCAAACATTTCTGAAGTATCTCTTCTGAAGTGTTTTTCATATTTGTTTCATTTAGTTATTTTAGGAAAAGGTTTTCCACTCTTTCTTGTTTTCAAAAATGTTAACTTCGACTTAAAAAACTTAAGGTTTTACACTAATGGTGTTCAATACGCAAAATGTAATGATCACTTCTCTGAAACACTTTAATCTTTTTTAGGTATGAAATATTTCTGAAACTATGCCTACATAGACAAATTATACTACAATTCTACTTATTACTACAGATATCAATTATTGTATATTTTAAAACAGAATACTGTGCCAACCCAGAACAGCCTCAATAAGCTGCATTCTTAGACAACTTTTCTTGCCTTTTTATTTCCTTCTCAAGCCTCTCACAGCCTGTGAATGAGTTTCTGAGCTGAAAGGTATGAATTCTGCTTTTTATCCAGGTTCTCTGAATGCAGTAAGGTGAGGGATAGAGAGTATAAAGATAACTTGTTCACATGGAGTAGATTATTAGAAATGTAACAATGCCTTGCTAAAAAGGATTTCCACAGTGTTGCTCTGATGGGAAACCTACAAGATTAGGTGAATAGACTGGTAATATAATACACCATAAAAGACACTTCTCCAAAAAACAGAAGCCTTTCTCTTTAGAAAGTGGAAGAAGGTCCATTAAAATATGTTTTGATAACTTCTCTAGACCATCCAAGTTAGTCTCCAGAGATCAACTCAGCCTTTCCCAACATTTAGGGAGAGTGTGAGGAAGAACCACCTTGTGTTTCAGAAAGGTCAGTGACTCTTCGACCCACCCAGGACCTGGAGTCATGCATAGTGTGGATAGAACAAAAATGACTGTGTTTTCAGTCATGTAGTCCTAAAAGGAGTTACAAAGTACTTTGGGAAGAGAATAAGCAGGAATGGTTGCTGCTGAATGGTTCTGAACAAGGACAAACTTACCGTGCACCTCCCAGACACTAAGCAAGCTAGAACTTATTTTTGAAGTCAAATATTATTTAGGAATGTCCTCCCAGCTTCAGCTGAGAAGTATGTTCCCGTTACTGGCAAAGTAAGTAATTTCTGTTAAAACTACTAACTTGGTTTCCAAAAATTCAGAAGAAACAGGTTTTCTGGGGAGTTGTTTTTGCAGTTGTTTTTTGTTTGTTTGTTTAACATAAGGAAAAGGATACAACCCCATTGTGTTCTCAGCCTTATTTCCAGCATTAAGTGAGCTTCTAAGTATTTTTTTTCAACTTTACAGCTCACAGTAATGTACTCAGAAGAAGCTGTACCTTACATAGGAAATAGAACTTAAAGTGTGCAATTTCTTCCCGTAGCTGTATGTAATGTTTTTTTGAAACACTGGCAGTGAAAAATACTGCATTATATAAAGGAGAAATACTTCTAACAGAACTGCTGTTCAGCAAATCTCTAGATCTTTTGCAAGTCTTTCAAAGCTTATCTACTACAAAGGGATGCTGTGTCCAAAGTTCTGACAAAACATAGGGATGCCATGGAGGTAAATGTGATAAACGTATAAATGCCACTAGATGGCAGGGTTAGTCATCGGTATGAGTTTGGTTTCACCCAAGAAGTGGAAAAACTGGTAAATTCCATTGCCTGAAAACTAGGATTTGGAACTTTCAAATTGAGTTCTTTATTTTGAATGTCTGATGAATGACAATGTGGTTGTAAGAAAAGTGAAGTTTCTCAGAAGGCTAGTAGAAATATACCCAAAAAGGGTGAAAATACAGTCTCATGTAATTATAGAATGATTTGCTATGGAAGGTACCTTAAATATCATCTAGTTCCAAACTCGCTGCCATGGGTAGGGACACCTTCTTCTAGACCAGGTTCTCAAAGCCCCATCAAACCTGACCTTGAACACTTCCAGGCTTGGGGCATCCACAGCTTCTCTGGGCAACTTGTTCCAGTCCCTCACCAGCCTCACAGTAAAGAATGTCTTCCTAATATCCAATCTAAACCTATTCTCAGTTTAAAACCATTCCCCCTTGTCCTATCCCTACATGCCCTTGTAAAAAGTCCCTCTTCAGCTTTCCTGTAGGCCCCTTTTAGATACTGGAAGGCTGCTGTAAGGTTTCCCTGGAACCTTCTCTTCTTCAGGCTGAACACATTGACCACAACTCTTTGAGTGTGACCATCCAGCCAATTCCCTACCCACTGAATGGTACATCTGTCAAATTCATGTTTCTCCAGTTTAGAGACATTTTTTTTTTTAAATATCTGCTATCATAACTAACACCCTTTTGCATCCTCCAAAAAACATCTGATTTTTTTTAAGTTTTCAGGGCCTTTCAGTTTAGAATAGAAGAATGTTTCTGATGAGTTGCAGAACTTCAATTAGAAGTTCTGTATGGCTGTCTGATGCATTATGAACCTGTTATTTTTTTCTGATCACAGAATCACAGAATATGCTGAGTTGGAAGGGACTCACGAGGATCGAGTCCAACTCTTATCCCTTCACAGGACCCATCCCCAAGAATCACACCATGTGCCTGAGATTATCATCCAAACACTTCTTGAACTCTGTCAGGCTTCATACTGTGACCACTTCCCTGAGGAGCAGTACCAACCACACTCTGGGTGAAGAAGCTTTTTCTAATATCCAACTTAAATCTTCCCTGACACAGCTTCAAGCCATAACCTTGGGTCCTGTCACTGGTCACCACACAGAAGAGATCAGTGCCCACCCCCTGTACTTCCTCTCACAAGGAAGTTGTACCTGCAATGAGATCTCCCCTCAGTCTCCTCTTCTCCAGGTTGAACAGACCAAGTGACCTCAGCTAGTCTTCATACGGCTTCCCCTTGAGGCCCTTCACCATCTTCATTGCCCTCCTTTGGACACTCTCTAGGAGCTTAACATCTTTCTTATATTGTGGTGCCCAAAACTGCACACAATATTCAAGGTGAGGCTGCACCAGTGCAGAGCAGAGCAGGACAATCCCCTCCCTCGACCGGCTGGACATGCTTTCCCTGATGCCCCCCAGGACACGGTCGGCCCTCCTGGCTGCAAGTAACGCCTTGCCCATAGAGGTTGTGGATGCCCCATCCCTGGAAGTGTTCAAGGCCAGGCAGGATGGGGCTTTGAGCAACCTGGTCTAGTGGAAGGTGTCCCTGCCCACAGCAGCAGGGTTGGCACTAGGTGAATTTTAGGGTACCTTCAAGGTCTCTTCCAACACAAACCATTCTAAGACTCCATGACAGTGAACTGCTTCAGTTAGTCTTTTTCCTACCAGCATCAGCCTTTCTAAGACTGTATTAAGAAAAAGGCCAGAGTCCACAAGATTTCAGACACCTTCTTAATAAGTATTTTATTTTTTTCCCTGCTTTCTGACTTATATTTCTAGACATATCAACAAGAGAAGTGTTTATGGACTTGTTGTGAAGACATTTCATACACTTGAGAGCCATCCAGTCAGGAAAAGAAGTAATATTGGGTCCCTTGGGATAAATCAAGAATACAGTTTCAAAACTGAAAAAGCAACTACAATACACCAATAAGTCAGCTGGTAAAAATAAGCTGGCAGGACCAATTTTGCTTGAACAGTGAATAATGAATATATATATAAAGATTAGTGTTTCTGAATAATTTCCAAATCTTCTAATTATTTACATTATGCCTTGAAAGTAATTTATCTGATCACAGATGAATGTGCCAGTCTGTTCAGGCTAAACGGTTAAGGGGTGGAGCAGCAGATAATTTGCCATTTTATATTGGAACTACTGAACTAAGTTAAATCTAAGTTATTTTCCAAATCTCTCTGTAAAGAGGCATCTAGAAATCAGAATCTAAAGAATTTAAATATGACTCAAACCAGTGATGTACAACTAGCAAAGCAAGATGCTTTTTTGCACAGAGAATTGCTGTCACTGCGTCTTAACACCCCAACAAAACAAACAAGCCTTTTTGTGGGGTTTCCTTACCTTGTGCAAATGGAAGGAATTACAATGACCGTAACTGAAAATGTAACAATGACCTTTGTGCTAGGACTTGGCTTTTTAGAAGTGGTCTGAGACTTTAATTGTTATGTTCTTCCCCATCCACTCACTCCTCACCAGGATAAAGGAGAAAAACACTTCCCTCCCTGATAGGTAGTAACAAATGTGAGTAAATAAGAAATGTGCTCAAAGTTTTAATTCATTAAATGCTTTTTTGTGGGAAAGAAAGCTTTCACTTCTATAAAAACTTGTGTGTTGACTCTTATGTTCTACAATTACTCTAACACACAGCTGTGTTTTTTGGGAAGTTTTAGGTTTTTTATTCTTTTTTATTCTTTCAGAGCAAACAGGGAAATTCTGCATCTCCATGTTTCCAACTTGCTCCCAAGTGAAGCACAGTTATACAGAAATGATTGGTTCAAAACTGCTCTACCACAAATAATGAATAATCATAAATAATTTTGATTTTCTCAAGAAGTTTTTTACACTGTATTTTACACTAGGTGACTCTTGTATTTCAGATTATAAAAATATCATTAAATAAGTACATCAGTTTATACATATTTTGTATTTCATACATAGAATTTAAAACTCCCTTCAAAATTCACACTTTCATTGCAGCCAAAAAAGTGTTCCTCAGTAGTCCTCCCGCATATTACTAAAATTGAAACTCTCTCAAGACAATGTTCATATGTGTCCTTAAAAATTCGTCGTCAGACATATGTTTCCTGAACCTCCAGCATTAGGAGATCTCTGCATGAAGACCCACTTAATGAACAGAGTGATGTGTTTTACACTAACTTTTACTTATCAAACAGTTTACAGGCCCAAGTAGCCTATGACACATGAAAAGCTACATCTGTGTCAGAGGGAAGAGGTTCAGCTTCTCAGACTTACAGCTTCTCTGGTAGAAGTAGAAGAAACACATGGGGGGAAAAAAAGATGCAGCTTCTTTTCAGCACCAGCCTGAGATCTTCAGTATGAAAGGGAACTTACGGGAACTTGGCCTTTTTTCTTGTCCTGTAAACACATGCTGTTTCTCAAAACTTTTTATTTTGTGCACAACATTAACTATCTTTTTTTATACAGCACCATGTGAGTAGCCTTCTCCCCCAAGCAGCTCAGTGGGGCTCTGCCAGGTCACCAGTAGGCATCTTGGTAGGATCAGGAATGACGGTGCACACAGCTTTCTTCAGTCCTTGTTTCCAGAGTAGACACAGAGCTGCTATTCTCTTACCTCTGAAGGTAGAGAGGGAGGAGATGCAGAAGTCTGGTATACTGAGAGTGGTGATGATGACAAATATTTGGGTTTGGTGGCAGTGGATTTCTTTCTTTGATTACAAACTAGTGATCTCATCTTGTGATTCCAGAATCCTGTATTGAAATTTTAACGTTTGATCTTTTATGAGAATAGAAATGATGATTTAAAATTTACTAGTTATTCAACGAACTTGGTAACTATAGAAGCAAAGATTTTACAATATACGTCTGCTTGACTTGCATCTCAGTGTAAAGTCAATATACCAACATCCTCCATCTATCTCTAGTCCCCTGCACCAGTTCTTTCCCATACGCCTTGTTGCTGCCTCACTTTTTGACTTGTTCATTTAGTTTTGTGCCAGTATTAGCTTCATCTTTTGGGCTGAAATAAAGGATTGGGAGGTGTTGGGGAGATGTTGGAGAGGTGTTACACCAAATGAAGCATTCTGACTAGCATCACCCTGCCAGCTGGCATTGCACAGAGGAGGCTTTTGGGCTCTTCTGCACCATACAGGGCCAGCGCTGGGGCCATGAGAAGTAAACTCACACAAACATGGCTGAGATTATTATTTAATGAATAAGAAAAGATTTGGGGTCTAGATCATGCTTTTCATCTGTGCTTGTATTTTCCTATTTTCAGTAGGAGTTACAGTAGCTGTTGTGATACAAATAAGTAACAATATCTGATTCTTCTGGCCTTCTCCCCCTTCCCTTTTTTCTACTCATTCTGTGCCTTTGCACAGTGAAGATCTTTGTACCAGCTACTCTGAAAGTTTTCTGGGTTAACCTTTTAAATAAATCAAAAGCAATCATGCTCTTCAAGGTATTTTCAATTCTTACTACTTATCCATGCAGCTCTTCCATATGTGTTTTGATACAATGACTAGAAGCACTTGTTATTTTCTTTTCAGCCTTTTGAGTAGTTTCCACTAGATATACTATGATGTTTATGTGTAATCTGTAAGACCCCATGAATCAAAACAGGAGCCATATTTAGGTGGTGGAAAGAGATGATACTTTTACCACATGAATTTCAAAGCCATGTCAACAATGTGACAGTTGTTTTTTTATTCTCATCTTTTCCTTCAGAAAAACCATCCACAATGCTGTCCCCTGCTTGAGGTTCCTAATACGAATATCAAAGAATGACCTCCTGAGAGGGTCCATAAATGAGTCATCATTCAGGACCTCTCTCTCCAGCCACCAATCTCTTGCTGGCAGGACCAAGAGCACTTGTGTTTCATCTATTTCTACTGGAGAAGCTGTAAGTCTTTTCTTGTTTCCACGAAGGAAAGTGAGTATAATGTTTCTCAGACTCCCAAAATATGTGACTCTATAAATACATATTCAAAATTAGAGAATGGAAAAGGGGGAGGAGGGGAGTGTAACTAAATGTTGGGGGTCATGTGAGGTCATTTCTGCCAAGCATTTCTGGGAGCTTATGCATGATGATTTATGATAAGAGAAAGCATCCAGGCCAGCATATCTGCGTGGTTCAGATGCATAATGGGACCAAGGATGTTCAGGTTAAGTCTTTAATGTGAATTAAAAAGCATGATTGTCAGACACTATCTGTGTCAGGAACTACTGCCTATAATTTAGTATCTGACTGGGCTGGAGGACAACAAAACAGTGTCCCATCCAAAGTCTTCAAACCTATCCAAAAGCTGTCTTATTATTTTAAAGGAAATCTATTTTGTGTAGGATGGGAAATTTTTTATTTCTTTCCCTGGGTTTTAACTATGAGGAGCGAAAGATTCCTGTCCCTGGAGCATGGTGGGGTGTTTTGTAAGGAGCATACCCCAAGTGTCAATAAGGCTGGTGACTGAGTGAGACAGAAATAAAAGAATCCCCTGGGACTCTTTACAGCCTCTCTCAGCATGACCTCACTTGCCTCTCTGTCACAAGAAGCCGGCCTTGCCTGCAGAGGTGCTGGGAAGGTGGCTCTGGGGGGATGGTGGCAGGCATTGCAGGGTCCGGGCTGGGGCTGGCCCTCCTGGGGACCTGTAATGCCCCCTGCTCAGCTCGGGCATCAGAAACCTCCCAGAACAACAGCTGCCTCTGGTAAACTCTCACAAAGGTGTAAAACACTGTGACAGGCTGAGTGGCAAGCTCTTGACTCTCCCCTGGGGCCAGCAATCTGGGCGAGGATGGGCCTGGGTTACATGTGACAGTGTTTTCAAGGTGAGAGTCAAGCCATGGAGTTGTACTTCAGTGAGATTGTGACTGTGTCTGGTATTTTGGGGAAGACTGGGGTCTTTGATTTGGCCATGGACTCAGGACCATCAGGAAAACCAGCTTGAACAGTGCACTGTTCTCAGACAAGGTAATTTTGCATCAAATTTTCTGCTGGAGAATGGAAGTTGTCATTTTGGGTAACAGCAACAGGGAGATTTATGAACTCTTTGATGGCAGGCAGATGGCATTAAAACACAGTGGAGTGAAAAATGCACTGGTCACTGGGTTTAAGTGCCTGAAAGGAAGGCTCAGTACCTGAGCCCTAATGAAACAAAATCTACCTCATTACAAAAGAGAGGTTACTTCGCACTCCTTCAACTGCCTCCCTTGCACATTAACCATACGGCTATATCAGGTAGGCTTCCAGTTAAAGTAACACATTGCACTTCACTGGTTAGCCTTAGATATTCAGTTTGTGAAGCTGTGAACTCTCTGAGGACAAGTATCCTCTTCCACTTTGTGATTATATCACATATCACAGCCGCATTCCTGACTATCACTAAAAATCCTACAGGTTATGGTATTACAGACAGGTAGTAATGATTATAATTAAAATAATGACATCTCCTAAATGGGGTGTGCTTTGTCACTCAAAATTAGAAGTTGTTTTAGTACCATGCAATGGATGAGCTACTTCACAGGAGAGTCTTTGCCTAGAAGAGGCAAGTTTTTGCTGTAGTACTTTATGAAATATGTCTACTATAGAATTCCTTTTAAATTAAACAATAAATAGAAGAGTGAAAGGCTTCTCTTAGCCTAGGCAAAGCCTTTTTTTAACATACTGTTGTTCAGATTTGAACCCAAGCAATTTGAAGTGTGTGATGAGACTCTTGTGGAGTGCGACACTACTGTATCACAGCGCATAGCACAAGGATCCCCAGATTTGCTTACCTAGGCTCTCATAATCTTAAAGCCATGGGGAGCACTTTCATGTTTGTCTGGTTCCTGCTATGTTAGGGCAAAAGACTTTAATGAGATAGGAAAAAAACTGATTCACTTTGTATGGGCTATGAAGTTTAGTGTTTGTCATGGCTCTTGAAGATATAAATAAATGCATTAATATTACTATTGCAATGTGAAGGAGAATGAGATAATCTGTCCTGCTGATTTAATTCCATTCACAGACCACTGATTTCACAATGATGAGTATCAACTGTGATTGTTCATAAACTGTAAAATACCCAGATTAACCTTGCAATATGAGGTTAGTATATGTAACATGCCAATATCCTATCATTAAAAGAAAGAAGAGTATATTTTGTTTGGGATTGCTTAGCAGCTTGAGCAAACAGAGTGTGCACACATATCTGTATCTCCCTTGAAATCAAGGGGACTACTTGTCTTACACGTCTGTTTCATTCACTGGTTGAGGTAGTACACATAGCAACATGGAAATATGTTGACATAGTTTAAAACAGGGTTACTCCTCATTTTCTTATTTTCAACCTTTTTTGCCCCTTTTACCTTTTGATTTTCCTTGACTTAGTTTATTCCCAAATTTTCTCCCCATTATTCCTTTGTTTGATGTCAAATGAAGTAATTTCAGCTGCATCTTCTGCCCTCATCCAAGAAGCTTTCTCTTCTTCACCGTTGGTCAGTACTTGGACTTAATTTGTTCGTGTTAGCAGGTTACTGTGTGTGTTTGGTTGGGGGTGCTCCTTCAAGAGACAGGATAACGAGGATAAGAAACCTCAGCTTTTGGCACAACTTTGGCTTAGGAGTCTCAGTTAAAACACGTGCTGTTAGAGATGCACAGAGCTGCGTTGTGCCAAGTTGACACAGTCAAAGGCAATTGTCCATGGGGCTACTGACATCTTAGTGCAGCTGTACAGATTTTAGCTGAAAGAGCAGCTGCTGAAATAAAAGCTAAGCTTGATGACTGGCATGACAGCAGGACTGAGAAAAATTTTGGAATGCTCAAATAAAATATTGATGGGCAAGAATGACACCAGCAACAGCTGTTGCCACCAACTTTCCTCTATGTGTTATGTACATGTTAGTGTAGGGAACAAACATATTCACGAATCTCATCAAGTAGCATTTACAGTTTGATCTGGCAAGTGAGGAGAAATAAACAGGTGGCAACACATAGATGCATGAGCAAGGTGATGCAGAGGAATTATGCACTAGCTTCCCACTTGTGTGGAGCCCTGTCTGTCTATCTATCTGTCATCTATCTATCCGTATCTAAAAGCTGGTGTTGAAAACAGTGGAATGATCCCATCATTGATACTCAATCAAAAAGTCACCACAAAGTAAGGGATGATGGACAGCCTCTGCCCAAGCCTGTAAATGGAATGGCATGGTTGCAATGTCACGTTTGTGCTTCATTGCTGGCGTGCTCTCAGAAAATTAGTGCAGAGCCCACCCGTTGTTTCCCATGCACTAATGATGGTTAATCAACAAGCTCATGGGAATTGAGAAGCCCCAGGTGTTCTGGATATTCTGCTGGCATGTATACAAATGCGGGTTTGGATCTGTCCATGTCCACGGTTTTGTACCAGTCATGTAGAATGCCATAAGACATATTAAATAGATTGGTCGTACTTGTTCCCATCTTTAGAATTCAGGTGCTCTTCAGCTATAAGCATAGCACAAGCAATGAGATGAAAAGGTGTGAAAAAGATCATGGTGAAAAGACATCGAATAATTTTTCATTATTTAAAAGATTTTTTTTTTTTGTTCAGCAAAATAATCCAGGGTAAGTGACAAGACTAAAAGCCAAGCCTCTCCCCAGGGGAGATTTGAGTATGAGACCTATGTTAGAACAGCTTTAATTTTCTGTAAGTGAATTTGAGAAAGGGTGCAACTGTGTGAAATCCTTCATAATTTGTGATTAGACTTGGAGCGATGTAGAGCTTGACGCTGTGGAGCCTGGTCATGAGAAACTGAAGCCCCGCCGAAGTCATTCCTTCTCAACAAGTCTGAGACAAGAGAAGAGAGACCTGCTCCCAAAGAGCTGCAGCTGCAATGCAGCAACTGCCGAAAAGGTATGGAAAAAAGTCTCAGCTGAGGACTCTCTATTTTATTGTTAATCTTGCTGCAGTACATCATCTCTGGAATGATAATTCGGTCTTTATATGTTTATATCATTATCTATTTCATCTGTAGGCTTTATGTATACTGATTCCAACGTCCTCTTCATCCTTGCTGTTATTACTTTTTTTTCTTTTTTTTTTTTTTTTTTTTTTTTTTTTTTTTTTTTTTTTTTTTTTTTTTTGGTGTGTGTGTGACAAATGAGAATGCCAGGAGTGCCTTATTAACTTTTTCCAATGATATGTAGCCTGTTTTGGGAAAGCCAGCATCAGCTCATAGCTCTGAAGCTGCGTTAAAGCATAGTCAATAGCATCAAATGTAAAAAGATGAGTTCTTTGCCTCTTCACCTGTTTACCTACCCCAGCTTTGGTTCCTCTCATCCTGACCCTTGTGTCTATATAGTGGCAGCCTCCTTTCATAATAAAGTTAAGTCTGCAAAACAGAGTTTGAAGTAATAGAAGCCACCCTTTTTCTTCTTTTCAGTGTACATTAAAATGTTTTATTTTTGTTGAGGGGGAAGACAAGAAAGAAACTCCCATTTCTCCCTAAGTGTGGGAGAGTCTGGCAGCTGCCACCCTTCCCTCACTGAAAGAGGAGACGGTGAGTACTCAGAGCATCTTTTGTGGATGCATCACACCCATTGTCCAAACCACTGAGGTTTGGCATCATGTTGTTGAGGAGCGCCCCATTCCCTGCGGAAGTGGGATGGGAGCAGCAGTGGGATGGGAGCACCCACAAGTCAGCTTCTGCCAGATTGTAACATCAGTTTTGAAATGAGTATTTATATGGGTGGCACAAGGTCAAGCACATATCAGCACTGCATTTTTAACAGACATAGGCTTACAAATAGCCACACCTTTGGCAGCTGCAATATCTGCCTCTGTCCCCTGTGCTGCCTTACAGCTCTGATGGTAATTATCTAGAGACAGTGCAGTTTAAAGCAGGAGCTGTTTTGGAAATTTCCAGCCATCCGACAACCTGGTTCCCGCATGCATCCGCCCTGTCTTCTTCCATGTGTCTCATTAAGACCAAGTCCTGGGAGACCTTGTTCTTTCCCTGAAACTGTTGTGGACAGTACTGATGGAAAAACAATGGCTTCAAATGTGGTGGCAAGCAACATGGGCTCAAGCCTAATACCCAGTTCTGCTGCTATGTAGTCCAGTGTGTTCAAGGTTGTAGGCAAGTCACAAAGAAAAGATACTGCCCCCTGGCTCTGGAGAAGCACTGGCTTTCAGTCACACAAGGAAGGAGAAGGGAAGTAAATTTGAGGTGAATCTGCATAAAACTGTTCAGCAATCAAATAAATATTTCTGTGCACTGGAATTTAGCAATTTTGTAGCCCAAAAGAAGGCTCGTATGCTATACTTTGCCTTTGAAAGACATCTGTTGAATTACTTTGATAAATAACCCTTGAACAGAAGAAGAGTTAATTTAAATTCAATGTTCAAAGCTTCATTTGCTTTTCTTAATATTTTCAGCAGAGGTTCCTGTGTGGTATGAAGGTTTTTTGTGTTAGCTAAATGCGATAGATCAGTATTCATACTATCAGGATAAATATTTATTTGTCAGTTAAAATGTTTCACTGTGAGACCACACATTTATCCTTAAAAAAACCCCAACCAACACTAAAGAAGCCCCACTGTATCTTTAGATATTAGTTTTAAGGTTTTAATAGCATTACTGGATTTTCTGTGACTGAATTCCAATTACAGCACTTCCAGAAATATTCAACTGCAGAAATACAAGTGTGAATTTAGTGAAGGGTCACCTTTTTGACTTAATGAAATATTTTTTTTTTAGGAAAATAATCTTATAATTTGTTTCCTTTAAGAAGATTATCTCAAAAACATCTAAAAACCTTATGTACCTCTGAATTCTTTTCGCTGACTGAGATCAAGACTCCTTAATGAACAGTTGCATCAAAAATGTAAAAGCATCCTTAAAAGAAGCCAGTCAGTGTCCCAGGCTTGTTGCTTTCCAGAGCATAAAAATGCATGGGACTGTTTGCATACTGTGCACAAAGAGCTATGGAAAGAAATCAGGGAAGTTGCCATCAGGGCCAAGTTAGAAATCAGAATTCTCTCAAAATAGGTAGATAAGAAATTGTTAGCAAAGTGGATGTTTGCTGCTTCTTTGTTGAAGCATTCACACTGTCCAAAGTGTGAATGCAAAGCCACTGACTTCCCTGAGGCAGTACTAGGAGCTTTTTAGGGTCATCATGATAGGCATTGTCACAAGGATGATGAAAATAAAGAATACAGTGTACTTGAGTCTTATCTGAGATCTCTTCCATGAGAAGAGAGAAAAGTATAATTGTCTGGTACCCTGAGACATGTTAAAAATGGAGTAATTCCTTTTTTTTAGTAATAAAATAAGTCAGATATAGAAATATGCTTTTCTTCTTTTGTTTGCTTTGTGGTGGTTTGGTTTTGTTGTTTGTTGTTTTTTTTTGACCTCTGCTGCAATTTGAGCATGTCTTCTTTTGCTTCATTTAACACTCTGCTTTCCAAACAGTATATGTTAGCACATCGTGATCTTCCCTCTAGTTAACAATCCAAGTGTTTAGAAAATAGGCCTGGTGACTCAAATAGTGACTAGTGGTAATGAGTATTTTTAGTACTGGTTTCCACAGTCATACGGTGTATGACAACACTAAAGCTTATGTCTCCACTCCAGGTTTTGCTCTCCTCTAGCTGTTTGGAGAAGGTGCTTGGGCAGCCAGGTCTACACAGCCCTCCTGCAGCACTTGTGACCAGCTCCCTACGAGCAGCTTCTCTGCCTGTCGGTTTGAATAGCAGCAGTGTCACTAGAGGAGACTCAAGTACTTCACAGATGGCAACTCAAGAAAGTCAAGCTAATGGAGTCCTGGACTCTGTCATCAGCAACGCAGTCCCTCGCATCGTCATCATTCCTACCTCAGAGAGCAATCTATTTCGGGAAGAAGAGGAAGAGACTGAATTATTCCACTTTAATGACAAAAAGGGCAATCTGCTGGACTTGGAAGGACTTAGTTCATCCATGGAGTTCCTTGAAGCTGTTGAGAAATTTCTATCATAAATTTGTCAAAAGAAAACTTTCCGGCAATTATTTTCTTGGCATCTTCTCCACTTAATTATACCAAATAACTGAAGCCTTGTAGGTTAGGTCATCAGATTTTTTTGTATGCTTGTATGGTAGTCACTAGGCAGCCTTCAGATTTATCTTTGTCCAAACCAGCTCAGGCATGGAAACAGGCTTTCTTTCACATTGTGCTGCAGGAAATGAGCAGTGGAAGATCTGGCAGCATAATCGAGTGGCATCAGTCAGATAGGCTGCCTGCTTCATGAGGCTCTGATTTGTTGCCACCGATGAAGGTGCCAGCAGAAGGGAAAATGACCAAGAGCAGGGTCAGCTGCTGAATGTTTCTGCTATCTGCACATGAAACAGCATTCCTATTTTGGCAGCTGTCTTCTGGACAGTGATGGGAAGCATCACAAGACCACAGCTTTCACTAGCCCCAGCAGTAAGGCAGGTGGCTAGGTGACCTGAACTATATTTTAATTAAATAATTTTCAGCATTTTTTTGGCCATGTTTCATTTTTTAAATAGGCAGCTTGCTAAACATGAAGAGAGAAACTGATGATGTAACTGGGAAGTGACTGCTTCCCAACATCTGAACTTTTGAAGTTTAGTGCTAGGAGTCTGGATTTTACCTCAGCATTAGCATGGTCATCTAAATGTCAAAATGCAAGGTACTACGTGCTAAAACATACACTACCATAGAAACATTTAGAGCACCTTTAGAGCTACAGTCTTAATTAAATACATATGGATCCTAATGAGTCTGTGATTAAAAGGGTGAATGTTCACAGCTGGCTTGACATGTCATTGACAATAACAAAGTCTTGGCTGCTGTATGTCACTTATCTATTGAGGACATTCTTCTCATCTCCTCTAAAATTACCCAGCAAATGTCTTCTACAGGTCACTTACCAGAGGCCTTCTGAATGGGTAAAACCTCATCTTGGGAGAAAACTCCACAGTTACTGTGATGTTTCCTACAGGATCTGCACTCACATCATTATCTGTGGTTAGTAATTGCACTCATTTTATCCATGCTTCACATTATGGCTCAGGCTCAAAAGACCCTCCTAGCATTTTATTCCTAACTGCATTCTTCCTTTTGTTACTCATTTTCCCATGTTGTCCACATCTTCCCTTTCAGTCTCTGATTTTCAAATGTAGACAACAAGTTGAACTATATTGTTCTCCACGTAATATCATTATATATTAGTAGACAGCAGGTGTTACTCTGGATATAATAGTGCAAATATTTGGTCCAGTGAGTCTCATAGCATTCAGACATTCAACGAGAGAGTGAGAGTTAATGTTTATAGTCTCAGTTTGTTCCCTTGTATCCTAGATTGTGCAAAGATCACTGAGAGCATTTCCGGGTTTGTCGTATGCACTGGCTGGTCTCAAGAAGTAATTTCTCCTTACCTGTTTTCCTAATGCAAAAAAACCAGATGGAAAGCACAGACATTTGGGGTTTTTTTAATTTTTTTTCATTACAAAAGAAAATATCACAAATCTTGTTTGCAACAAGCTAGACAGGAATGCCACTAAAGAAAAAAATAAAACCCAAAGCAGTGTAGGAGAGAGAAGAATGCCTCCAAACTTGCAGACCTGAGGCTTTGCAGGATGCCAGCCAGCAGACTTTTGAGAGGGCTGAAACACTTGCTGAGACACACTGCCTAATGCAATGCTAGTACTATTAATGCTGCTATTATTTGAGATACTCAAATAATAAGAAATGAGGCCAACACACTTCTTTACCATTGAGAGAAGAGGAGAAAAGGGTGGTGGAGCCACATTATATGTGTGGCTGCTGTGTTCAACCCTGGTGCATGGTGCCGGAGGGCCAGGGCTCAGCTGGGGCAGCACCAGGCTGGGGTACCCACAGCCAGGCTGCCAAAGCCTGTGCCCACTCGGTGCAGAGTTTTCTGCCGGGGCCAGGAATCATGCCAAGGTCATCTGCAATCAGGTCAGCATTTCCAAAAGCAATTCCTCCATCTGAGGACTAGAGCAGTGAGCAGGCAATGCAGGACAGCTTCCAGGGACTTGGACAGGGACGTGCTTACTTGCAGCTCCTCGGTGCCAGGCTTTCATCCACTGCATAGTTTTGGCAACAATGAGTAATCAAATATTAATTAAATATGATTTTAAGGGAAAACAGAGCAGGTTCAGTCCTAGGGTAAACATATTGTCCTACCATCTTGGATTATTTTCTTTTTTTTTTTTTCTGAACCTGCCCTCTCTGATTTGGGTTTTTTTCCTCTGTCAGCTGTGTAGTGACATTACTTCTACATGCATTTAATATCCACAGCTGCAGTATCTCCTTTCTTCTTGAGCCAGACATTAGGAAGCAAGTGTTTTTATAAGGCTTCCAAATCTTAGACCTGATTTTTACTGTTGTAAAATTACTCTAAATAACAATAGAAAATGCATTTGATGTTCCATGATGTAAAAGTGTGTCCTGGAGTAGATTTTGCACTCAGGTTATGACAAACTTGTACTGGTAAAACTGCAGGCAGGGTATTGCCATAGTTTTTGACAGGAGAGGAAGACCTAAATAGTCAACAAACTTCTCAGTATCCAAAATTTTACATTCTACTTGTTAGCCTACAAGACAGCTTTCCAGTGATTTCTTGCATGTGTGTTGGTACTGTTAGTGTGTCTCAGAAAATTAGCAGGCTTGAGGCATGTGCAAAGAAGTGTTTCACTTTTATACTGTTAATGTCATACACAATTAGTACCATTGTTTCTGCAGCTAATGGCAAGATTACTGCTTATTTAAACTGATGTAGGCTAAAATACCAAATGAGATAGCAGTAGAGAGATAAAGCATGAAGTATGAAATATCACATAGACTTACTACAGTCACTGTGAGACTTTTGCAGAAACATTGGTCACGGAGTAAATGTGTCTTAAATTGACTACCACAATGAAGAAAAATTTTGGAAACTTCTCTGTTGCTGCATTAGAATAGATGGAACACAAAAATGTGCAATAATAACTGTTGCTTCCCATTTCACAGAAGAATGTATTGGTTCACTCAAATGGAATAAAAAATTCTGAGGAGTTAAACCAAACTATCTATTGTTTGTTTTTCTTATTTAATCATTATTTTTGAAGCCAGGAGGAAGAATGAAAAAGTTGAGTCAAAGTTTTTGAAACCCATGCTCTGATTTAGTTAATAATAAGGTAGAAATATAACTTTATTTTCAATCATTTAGACCGCTCACGTGCAACCAAGCACTCACCTACTGGAGTGCTGAACATCCAAAATTAGAGTTCACTGACTTGGTAAAATCTGAAGTTGTTCAGCAGCTTTTGAAATACAATGACTTTAACTGGGATGTCAGGAATGAGATGAACGAAACTGAAAAAAATTAACCAAAGTCAATACATTAGAACTGTGATGGCAGACTTTGATCTTTGTCCTAAAGCCAAATGAAAGTTAATGAGCAATTGTTTGTTTCTGCTAAATCTTTCTATAGCACAGTTATAGGATATGTTCCAGTTTCCATAAGTAATAGAAAATCCAGACTAGAAGTGTAAACATTTTCTCTTACCACTGACAATGGTATTTTTTAATAGTTAAATCAATGGTTAGATAAAGTTTTCAAATAAGAAAATTTACTTATTTGAATCTTAATGAATCTTGCTGCCTTGGGTTGGTATGAAGCAAGATCTAATACCACGTTCTTCTAGAAAGCTCATTCAGTTCCCATCCATTTTCTCCTTTCAGGAGAACACTTGAATCAGAAAACCCTTCCACCCTGCTGTTTGAAAAAAGTTTATCTTGTAATGTGCAAAACTGGAAAATACTGGAAGGAAAATACCCTGTTTTTTAATTTCCTTACTCTTCCCTCACCCTTTTATTTTTATTTTTTTTAACAGCTACTCTTTACTGCTTCTTTGTGCAGGTTATCCTTGATATTTTTTGTCTGGTTCTTTCACAAATGCGTGAAAGCGATTCGAGTTAGTGGGGAGATAGAAACTTAGGTGTGTGTTATGCAGTGGACTCCTTTCTCTGATAAGAGCAAACAAAACTGCCCACGGTGCTTTGGTTCAGCAAGTGCATGGACCAGGTAACTGCAGGATGAAGTCAAACAAGGTGGAAGCAGCTGAGGTGCAGCTGTCCCTCCCAGATCATCTCGACACAAGCTGATGATTATTTCTTGCTTTGCATCATATCCATAGCCTCAGTCAGTGTTTTGTCTGCACCTTGAATGGACAAGTATTTAAGTGAGAAGTTTGGTGCTGAGATGCCTTTATTGTTCATTTCACATTTACCCTTGTATTAACATACCCTATGGCTTATTAAGAATTGGGATGCCTGTCCCTATATTTTACTTGTTTTACAATGTGTCTGTGTTACACTTGGGTTGCACTTGTTAGTGCTCCGGGTTGTAACAGGACATGAAAAGCTGTTACTAATTCTCTCATATGCCAGCATGAGGATACAACTGCATGCCAGCAATCCTGGTGCCAATATTCCATGGTAAAATCTCCTGAGAGGAAATTTCTATAGGGGATAGCATATTACACAATATATTGACAATTTTTGTTTTGAAACATTTTTCCTCTTTATTCATAGTTATGTATCATTGTAGGCATTTTTATTTAAAAGGTCAGATGCATTCTTCGCCCTAAAGCAAAGCTTCGGAAGACCCTTGTCATCTTCAGGACCTTGTTCTGGGCTGAATGAGCCAAAGACCTAGGCAATAACAGGTGAGGAGATGGGCTGCTGCCATCACCAGTGGTGCACAGTCCTTAGGGTGATGCACTGCAAACCTCTCCCTCCATGCCAAAGAGCAGGTCTGTTTCCCTTGAAACAGTCAGAGGTGTGCTGGTGTGTGCCTATGAAAATGGTATTTTCCAGACATTTATAGGGAACTAAGTGTGGGTAGATTTTCATGGGGACAGCAGAAGGTGTCTCCCTAGAGTTTCTCCTTGCCAAATTTCAGGTTCCTTTCCACTCTAAGCAGGTGGCAAATCTCTTCAAAGGATCAGATGGATGTATTTAACGTTAACAACTAATTTTCCACAGGCATGTTCTTGGAAACAAATGACCCGTATTTCCTGAGACAGAGAAAAAAAATCCAGCCCAGAGCAGACTACAAGTGTGGAAAATGTGAAACTGAACACATTTGAGTTCAGTAAACGTAAAACGAATGAAAACAGCATCTTAGAGTGGAAATTACTGAGCCACCAGGAGTGCAGTAAAATGGCCAACTCCATCTTCATAAAAGATACAAAAAGCTATATCCAACCAATTAATATACCCAGGTCTTTTTGTCTAGCCCCATCTATTGACAAACTGAAAGAAACAAGCTCAGAGACAATGGCAGCTTTTTCACGCTTGGGTCACTATGGCAAGACTCAACCATCTGGGCACCCACACATGGAGAAAACAGGAATGAAAAGTTTCTCTTAGAAGAGCAAATGTCATTCACCTTGTTAAACCCAGCAGAAGAAACCTGGGGCGATATGATTGCTGTCTTTAGTTGCCTGGGGAGAAAGATAGAATGTTCAGGTGAAGTGTCAGTGACAGCCATCAGTGGCCAGTCTCAGACACTGATTGCTCCAGTAGAATAATAATAAATTTCTTAAAAGTGCAAATACCTACAGAAACAAATTTTGCTAATAAAAAAATGTCTTGACTTATTTGCTGACAGTTTTAAATAGGCTGGGGTTGTTTTGAGTCTCAGTGCACGTGTGACTGTCAGGAGAGTGCATAAAGCAGGAGTCCTGCTGGAGAAATGCAGTAAATTCCCTGACGATGTACAGCCATCGAGCAAGTAACTGCTTCCAATTTGCTGAGGAGAAAACTTGCCGAGAGACCAGTAGGATCTCTGTTATCCTTTTTGTAAACTTCAGTGGAAAAATTGTCTGTCCCCTAAGGTATTTTGTAATGTGGAAATAACTTGAGCTTCGGCTGCTTGGCAAGGCTGAACCTGCGTTGTGCTTTATTTTCTTACTCATTATCACGCTACCTAAAAGCCGCATGCTTTTCTGGGGCAGGAATTTGAGCTGGTATGGCCTTTTCCTCCAAGCTGTCTTTACAATCACAGTGTAGATTAAGACCTTATTTTGCTCCATCAGAGTCCAGCAGTAAGTGTTGAAACTCCTGACAGGCCTCTGGGGCTTTCTCCTACATGCCTTGTCCTCCTAGAGTTTAGTCTGCCAGAGGTGCCAGTCTGCAAAGCCAAGAGAAATGGACTTGGAAAAAAAGAAAAAAAGGGCTTCTCTGGTTTTCCAAAGTTTTACTATCTTGCCTATTTTGGGAGTGACTGGAGGTTTTTATTTTTGTTCTTCTTTTCTCTCTTCTTCGTTTTTTTTTTTCATGGATGCCTTGGCATGCATCCCTACTGGCATAGGATGTTTCCTCAGAAATGTTTTGGGTTTGTGCTGGTCTGGATTTAATTTCCCCATGTGAAGATTTTTCCTGGAGCAGCTTCTGAGCAGTTCTGAAGGTACCTAGCAGATGTTCCTTTGCGATTGAGTTGTCCTGCCACACTCTGGTGCTGCTGATGCACTAAGACATTTGTGTTTGGGTGAGCTCTTCCTGTCCAGCAAGAATTAACAACTAAAATTCCCAGAGGAGAAACTCCCATGGCATGTTTCCATTTTGACTGAGATGCTGTTGCCAAACTTGTGTAAGAGTAGGTTTTAACCACCCTACAAAGTCTGATGGTTTGAATCTCTCTTCTTCACACGCCTCTGTTTCAGAAAAGGCTGTTGCGCACTTCTGGAACATCATTGGTATTAAAATACTGAAAACTCTGATACCACAGGCTACAGAAAGATCAGCAGTTTCAATAATCCAAGGAAAATAAAAGGAAGAAAATCGGTCTGTAGGTGAGAATCAATGGATGTGTCAAGGTAAAAGGTAGTAAAGAAGTCCCCTCCATTGTCCTCCTCAAATCTGGGCCTGGACTCCAGCAGGCACAGTGAGGCTCAGGATGAGTGATCACAAACACTGAAACAAGACAGACTAAAATCATCATGAAATTGCATAAAAAGCAAAGGACTACTACAGTGAATATTCATAAGTCTTGACCTTCTTTTCAAGTTTGTCTCTCCAGCCGGAATAGACAGAAACGAGATTGTTTTTTTCTCAGAAAAATGAAAACAAAAACAAAACAAAAAACCAAACAACAAACAAACATAGCAACAAAATCATTCAGACTCAGAACAAAGGTCCAGTTGAGTCAATATCTTGTCTCCAACAGTGACCAGCAACAAGTAACTACAAAGAGAAGCAAAACTGGTACCAATAATTTCCTGCTCTGCTCTCCCAGAACTGTTGGCAATTCTGCACTAGAAATTGTATTTAATAAGCTTCCGCAGACCTCTTTTCTTCCACGGATTTATGGAATTGCTCTTGGGATACATGTGAAAGCCTAACCCCCAAAACATCCCACGGGCTCTGCAATTTAATTGTGATTTACACAAAACAGAGCCTCGCTTTACACTCAGTGCCCTCCAGTTCTTGCAGGGTGTAAGAGAACGGATGATCACTGCCTGCTGGGCACCTTCCCTGGAGCCCCACTGAGGCTACACGATCTCCACTGATTATCTCCTCTCACAGCTGAGGGGTCCCACACCGTCCACCTGAATCCAGGAGCTCCATCCCATTGGCACAGAACCACAGTGAAACCACTGGATACCACAGGTGAACAGCAAAGATACTTTGGTTGCTCATCCCAAGGGGACGTCCTGGGTTATTTGTCCTTGTCCTTGCCCTGGACCCTCGACTCCTCCTCTCCCACTCCTTGTGTGTCCCTGCCCTCTGTCTGCTCTTCTGACAACAGTGCTGGGAAGTTGTGCAAAAGTCTGAAAGACTTGGAGCAGAAATGTGATGTGCTTGCAGTTACAGAGCATCCGCAAAAATATTTACAGACTGTTTAAGCAATTGGCAAACACTGTGAGGAATAACTTAGCAACAGGCTGTCTCCCAGCTCTCCTGAGAGGGAAGAAAATGTAATTATCCTCATTTAACATAATCAGGGGCTGGGAGGAGGTGTGATGTGCCCAGACAGTAGCAGTGTTGTGGCAGTCTCCTCTCTGCAGCCCAAGCCCA